CCAACTTAGTAACAATAGACCCTAGATCCAAAGATTTAATTTTTGCTTCAGGAGTTAGTAGGCAATCCAGAATTGGAGGCAAACGGTAGTCAGAATTTTTCCAGAATTTTGAGTCGACTATCAGGTATTCATTGTATGTGTGAAACTCCAAAATGTGGTTATTCTTAATTGATACATGCGGGATGAATAAGATGTTCTTATGAGCACTCATTGTTAACTGTTATGTAATAACATGAGAAAAATAACAATAACCTAACCCTAAGCTGTGATTAGTAAAGTTTTGCTGTTTGGAGTTGTGTTTGTCCTTCACTCTTGAAGAGGACCTTGACATCAGGGAGTTGACGACATGACTTGCAGTTGACTTTGATTTAAGTGAGGGAGGGCTGTGCAAGGTCACCAGCCTCACTTTCTCCTCCAGAGCCATGTGGGTCCAGTGGCGAGATATAGATCAGAACGACTGGAAAAGGCCCCTGATATTTGGGATAAACTTTGATATTGTTCTGAGTTTTTAATATCAGGTATGATTGTCTGAATTGTCATTAAGCCAATAGTCCACCATTCAAGGGAATATCAAGTGCTGCCCAAAGGGAGTTGTGGCAAGTAAAAATTTTCAAGAGAAGGAGTTTCTGGATAAATTATAATCAATTTTATCAACTACTGCTAGCAAGTAGGTTAACAAAAAGGTTCATTTATTCTCTCAGTGACCAAAGAGGCTTAACCTGTGAAACATTCAATACTTATAAAGTCTTTGGAGAAGGGTGAGGGTGGAAATCAACTCTGATTGGTTAACAAGTAATGAGAAGAATGAATATTATAATGAAAAGTAGGTTTATTCTAATGAGGAGTGGAACAGGGGGGTGACTGGGATCACTCAGTTTTGGTTAACAGAATTATCTGTGTCCCTGTCACTTGTCTGACAAGAGGGAGAATCCTCCTTTTCCCAAACCTGGTTGAGTAAAACACAATGGGCAGGAATCCATCAATTTGCCTAACTTTATCTTATGAATGGGGCTAAGTTCTTCCTCTCACTAACACCCCTGCACTTCATAGGCTGCCTGAATAATCTACAGGGACTGATTTCTGAACAAGGAAGTAGGAAAGGGGAAAAGCCTTGTTCCTAATTCAATAATTAGATTTTAAAAACAAGAGAGAAATAATCATTTCTCTCAATACAGTCTGAGGACTGCTACTGGTGGATGTCTGTGCCTGGGAAAATTGAGGGGACAACTCTGCATAGACAAAGATAGGATGCTCTTAACTCATTTTCCCTGTTGTGCTTTTTCCTTTTTGAACAGGAAAATTTCCCACCTGATTAACTCTGAGCCTGGATGTGATACACTGTGAACAATGTGGAACTTTGAAGCATTATTGACTAATAACTATGATTCTTACCTCAAATTAAGCAGAGATAAGGGAGTTTTTCCCTTTGTGGCTTATGTTAGATCATTCTGTGCCCTTGAAGGGACAGCCTTGATATTGTCATAACCTCCTTTTTTCTTTCATAGCAAATTTCTGTAATCAAGGTAGGTGAAAGTGGAAGTTGTTGCCATTAAAATACTAAATCTATTAACTAATAGATTAATACTAAAATATTTGAGTTACTACAATAGGATGAAAGTATGAAAAATCTTATTATTTTTAATCTGAATTTGTGGTCAATTCGATACCTTAAGTAACTAAGTAAATGAATTCTTAGGCTTGTCATGCACTTGCTAACAATTATATATTCACATATAAGAGTAGGTCTTTAAATTATTCTTCCAGGATGATATGAGAAATATAAAAACAAACAAAGAAATAAATGAACAAAGAAATGTGTGTCTGTATCCTCAAAGAGAGGGACAGGATAAAGATAAAATAGGGGTTTTTTTTTGTTTGTAAATTTAACGATGTAGTAAACTTTGAGGAAGCATCAAGATTAGACTGTTAGGTAACTGAGGACTAAGAAATACATGGATATGTGTCTGTATATACATATGTGTGTATTTGTGTGTGTATATGTGTGTCTGTGTGATTGGCTTCCAAATATTTCTAATAGGAAATTCAGGCTTCGAGTATGTTTTAGTAATAAGTTCTAAAAATTGCATTAAGGATTTTACATACAAAATTACATTAATAATTGTAAAGATATTTTTAAGTCATCTTTTTTCTATTTTGAAGTGTGTCTGATATTAAGGAACAGAAGGGCCCATTTTCCAAGTCAGGCCTTCATGGGCTTTTTTTTTTTTCTCTAAAGATTCTTCCTTCAGTCTGTTGATGGCATCATCCATATCATATACAGGGTAAAGATAGTAAGCAAACGCTATGTAAAAACCGAAATTCTCTGAAGTTTCAGGTGAATTATGGATTCCTAATCTGATGTTCTTCTTGTAGCTCTGTTGTGAAGGGATTAGATTCACAGGATCTGAACTGATTTTTGCCTCATGCACCAATTACTGGAAGGGCAATTTGATGAGATTTTGTCACATTTCACTAAATTATACTGAGTTTTATCACTAGCAGGCTTTAGCAGCAATATCTAGAGAATATCCACAAGTGATGGACAACCTGGAGATGGTTAAGGAAAAACCTCCACACACCTGCTCTGCTCCATACACAGCTGTTTGAGAGCTGCATAGGAGGTGCTTGCCAGACTCCTGAAGATCACAGATACTGCCAGAGGGCTTAACACCCTGAAAACTAAAGCTATATTGAGTTTATTCACTCTGCTGTAATTTTGCTTGTTTTGTTAGTTCTGTGTGTGTTATGGAGTATTACCTATTCTACAAGCTGCTTATCATTTCTGCTGGACTGATACCAACGTGGGAACCAAGGCCCTTTCACTCAAGGTTGCTGGTCATGGTTTGCCCATGGTGTTTACACAGAGGTCCATCGTGTGGACTCTAGCTGTCTTTCGTGTTTAACTCCTCGGAGAGAAAAAGTGGGCAACCTTACTTTCTAGACACCTGCAAATTGATTTTATTGCTCCTACCATTTGAACACCTGCAGACTGACTTTGTTGAACAGCCAAAATCAGTGGGCTACAGATATATTTTTGGGGTGTGGGTGAAAGACTTCCCAGATCTCCCCAGATGCCAACAAGGTTGCTGAGGGAATGACCTAGATATATCACTTCCAGGTGAATCCTGCCATAGTTGACCTTAGCTCAATAGAGGAAGCAACCCCCGATCAGCCCCTGGACCCACTTAAATTGAGAAAGCACCCTAATACCAATGGTCTTTGGCCACTTGTTTGTTTGACCCTGATAATTAGGACCCAATTCCTCACATGTTATCTGCCATGCATTTGTTATTTGCACTTTATACTCCGTTCTGCATCCTTGGGATTAGGGAAACAGAGGAGCACAATACTTATATGCATCTGATCCAACATGCCTCTAACTGGACCAACTGCTGGATATGTCCTCATGCCTCTTGTTCTTGGGGGAAGAGATGCCCTGGTGGGCCTGGGGTCAGATATCCAAGTCTCGTATGATTATTATTTTGCAATCAATAAGGCTAACCTAGACACAAAACAAATCAAATTGTACCACCATGGGCTTAGTCCTCCCACTCATTCACTTTTAATTAGGAAAAGATCACTAACTTTTCACAATTCTCACCCACTTTGAGCTTGAGACATATCGTCAGACCACCAGTTTTGAGCTATGAGTGAAATATGACACAAGGTCAGGAAATGGTATGGCAAACGGGATGTAATTATACCATATCCCTGAAATGAAACATGGTTACTCAGGATGGAAAGGGCCTTCTGAGAACTTTTCTTGAACCAGGAGGCCTGGCACACATGACCAGATTTTTTAGGATAGTCCCACAGGGATTTTATTTCCTGTGTAACAAAAAAGGGTTTTACTGGTTCTCAAATTGGATGGGCAGGTGTGGTTTTGGGCAGGTGCTCCTGGCCTCTGACCCACAACTATCCTGCCTCCTAACACACACTTGCGAAGCAAGCATGCAGTAATCCAAGTTTCTGCTACACTTTCCCCTTTAGTGAGACTGAATGCACCTTTTCCATTCTACTAGCCATGTATGGGGCTAGATGCAGTCTAGTGCTCTTGAATAAAATGAACAAATTTTTGCAAGTATTTGTTGGTGAAACCACAGGTGCAGTGGAGGACTTTAATACTGAAGTCCATGTACTTGGAGCTGTGGCCTTACAAAACAGGCTGGCTCTAGATGTCCTCCTGGCAGTGAAGGGAGGGGTAGGCACCTTTAGAGATCAGAAATGCTATACCTGGGTTCCTGACAACTTCAATGACATCCATACCCATACGGACTCAATCTGGAATGCTTGGAACAAGTCCTAGGTGGAGGATGGGAAGGAGACCTGGTCCCTATGGGAACGGCCAACCTTTTGGCTCCCAAATCTTTCATGGAGGAAATATGTTTGTGGGTTTTCTCTTGTAAGTCCTCATAGGGATTACGTATTGCTTGTGTTTATAGTGCCTCCCTTGGTGCAAAGAACTGATTCCCAAACCAACTCCCAAATTGTAAGCAGCAGAGATTAGGATGGTACAGTTGAGCAAAGAGGAGAAATATAGGTCTAACTGTGGTGTTGTACCACGAGTATGGTTAGCACCAAAGAGGGGATTATTCTGCAAAATCAGCCACTGGTGCAGTTAGTGTGAGTGACCTCATGACTTTTAGATTCTGAGTACAAGGCAGCTAGCTGGCTTGAAATGGCGGAGCACATATGCACTAATCCCATCTCTCTATGATGCTGTAATAAGGAAGGCCAGGTGCTGAAGCAGCACTAATCCTACCTCCTCATTGAAATGTGTACTAATTAGGGTCGTCTTCACCTTAAGTGGAAGTTGTTTACTCTTGTCTATAAAAGCAGAGCACAGGTTGAATTCCAGGCAGGCCTTACTCCAACTGCAAGCTGCCTTGGTGCGCTAATAAACTCTTTTGTCTTATTTCCTGAGTTTGCCTTATTTGACCAGGGCAAGGCCTGAACCAAGATTTCTTTTAACAACCCACCCTTACGCCATCCCTTCGTACTCAGTAGAAGAAAAAATCTTGGATTCTGGTGGCCTCAATCCATGGCCTGTAGGAAGCAGTCCTGGTGAAGACGCTGGGCTTGCTCTCAGCTTGGCATCCAATAGGTCCAAAGCTAGCTATGCCATGGACTTCCCACTCATTCTTTCCCATCTGACAAAGCAAGGGGCCCCCTGAGTCTCCCTGGAAAACACCAATGAGAGAGTTCAATTAGGGGAGTATTGACTGACCCATTAAGAGACTAGCTATGCAAGGCACTGTCCAAGTCCATCTCTGGGTGCCAGGGATAAAGGCTATCTCTCAGGGTTGCAGGACTTAGGGATATAGGGTGGGGTAGCACAGTACAGCTGGCAAATCAGTCAGTATATTCACCACCCTCATACCCCACCTAACAGATGAAAAGTTTACATTGAATCCCAAGGGAACAAAACAGACTAGGTGATAGTAAGAAAATTTACAAGCTCATTTATGAAGATTAACCTTTTTTTTTCTTTAAAGAACTGGAAAGGACCTTCCTCTCCCAATTCTTGGAGTAACCTTCTAATCCCTGGGTTCCACCAATATATGGCAGAGAGAGTTGGAAAGTGGTCGGAGAGCCCAAAGAACAAGGCCCAGAATATCATCCTGTTACCATAACCCTAGGAAAAATGAGAACCTTAGGCCTTAGAACCAAAGCCTAATAATGATATAAGTGAACCTGCATGTTCTCAAAAAAGTTGGATGTGGGTTGAATTTTGATATGCTGAATCCTATTTTAAAAGAAGATGCGAAGAAGTAAGCAGAACCAAGTGAACAGTTTACATAATGATCACAATAAGGTAAACAATACTGGGAGTGTCAGAACTCTGATTAATGCAGTGGTGACCTCAGAGGACTGCCAAGGGAAGAATGCGTCCTAGCTCTTGATAGAGAGGTGCTGGACTATAGGTGCAGAATGAAACACATCTTTCGGGCATTTCCCTATGCTCAGGATCTGGAAGAAGTGAAATTGAGTACCTCTGAGGTACCCCAGACCTATGAAGTCTGAAAAGATGCCTCTGTTTCCCTGCTACCTCCTTACCTGGCATGCTGCAGGAGTCCCCTGGAGGTCTCTGAAGCCCACACATAACATAGTTGGGCTTACTTTGTCTCCCCAAACCTTTTCCTGTTGACAGGTAGTGAAATCCATGATAGGCAGCTGGGCTTGGTTCAAAACATGAGACAAAGTCGAGTTTTCCTCCCCACCTGACAGAAACAGACAGATATTCCTGGCAGCCCCACTTCCCCACAGACTGCCTAGCTTTAGAAAGCCCTTTTGAATGAGAGTAAACTCTAACAGCTTTCTACCACAACCGGGTTATGGAGGGGTGTGGGCAGGGATGAGTTGAGGCAGAAAAAACCACTCCCATGGATTTAATTACCATCTCTATGCTGATGATTCTCAACCCTACTTGGACGGCCCCAATCTCTTTCCAGTAGATACCTTAAACTCAATATGTCCAAAACAGAACTCATTATCTTTCCGCCTAAACCTTCCCTAATACTGTAGAGGACAACACCATCCTCCCAGTCACCAAGGCTCACAAGCTAGGTGTCATCCTGGATTCCTCATTAGCTCTCCCCCCTCCCATATCTGTTATCTCCCACATCCCATAAGCTGTGGCCAACGCCTGTAGATTTCACCTCTGCAACATCTCTTCTCTCTTCTGACACTACCACCACCCTGGAACAGGCCTTCATCACCTCAGACCTGGACTATTCTAATAACCTGCAGGTGGGTCTATCTGTCTCAAGTCTTTCCCCCTCCAATGCATTCTCCATTTAGCCACCAAAGTGATTTTCCTAAAATTCAGGTCTGATCATGTCATTCCCTGCTCCTCTCTGGCTCTCCCTCTATTCAATAAACTCCAATAGCTTCCTATTGCCTCCAGGAACAAATACAAAATGCTCTGTTCAGCATTCAAAATCCTTCATAAACTAGCCCTCTCCTACCTTTCCGTTCTTTTTATACCTTACTTCCACACAGATATTCTTCGATACAGTGACACTGGCCCCCTGGCTGCTCCAAGAACAAGACCCTCCATCCCTTGGCTCTGGGCATTTTCTCTGGCTGTCCCCCTTGCCTGAAATGCTTTCCTTCCTCTATTCCCAACTCCTGACCTCCCTGACTTCCTTTAAGTCCCAACTACAATCCCACTTTCTATAGGATGCCTTACCCAATCCCTCTTAATTCCAGTGCATTCCCTCTGTACATTATTTCCTATTTAGCCTGTACATAGCTTGCTTTGTATATATTTGTTTGCATGTTATCTCCCCCATTAGATTGTAAATTCCTTGAGGGCTTTTGCCTGTTTTTGAATTCCCAGTGCTTAGGACAGTGTCTGGAACATAGGCAGTTAATAAATGTTTTTGATTGATTGTAATAGGTCAGGAAAGATATGGCGGCTTCCTCTTCCCAGTGTAATTACCTTGGGTCCCTCCCCAGCCAGTGACCCAGCAGAGCTGGCCAGGCCTGAGGGCAGGGCCTCCAGAGGTAGGTAGACAGGCATAGTGCACGTAAGGACTACTGGGGATGTCATGAACAGGCCGGACCAGGGCAATATCGTTGTTCAGCTGGTCGAGGTGTGGGTAGCGGAAATGCTCATGCCGGTATATTCGTTTCACACGGTACACTCTCTGGGTTGCTTCTGTTTGGTTGAGCTGGTGTTTGCCCAACACAATGCGCCAGTTGGCAACATCATCCATCTTCCCCCTGGGATGGTGTTATGGGATTAGCCCTGGCCATGACCAGCAGTAAGATTGGGTGAGGACCCAGGGTCACATGGAGGGGAAGCTGTAGTGACAATGCTGGGGGGACTGAGGTCAAGGACAAGGAGGGGCTGTCTCAGGGCAATATGGAAGAAATCCCCAATGGAGCCACCCATTTCACCCTCCGTGATCCAAGGATATTTGGATATTCCCCCATTTTGAGCCCAGAGATAATGAGGCCCTCTTTTTAGGTTTTATGGATATAGTAAGCAGCTGCCTAGTTGTAAGGGGTGCTGGTAAGGACTATCCTTGCTCCCAAATATCTCCCCAACTTAAGGACTCAGGAATCCAGAAAATCCACCACTGAAGGCATTATTTCAGTTAAGCATTAAATGCAAAACACCCCTGAAAAAGTCGGTAACCTCACAGAGTTTACCACATTAAAGGGATTCTAGGGACACCTTCTCTCCATAATTCAGAGGTGCTATCACATATTTAACTATAGCCTGCTAGGAGGGCACTGCTAAGTCTAGAGATCCTACTTCTATAACTTCTTACTCTGTGACCATGGGTAAGTCATTTAGCCTTCTTTGGGACTTAATTTCACTGCCTGTAAAATGAATGGATTTGATTAGATTATTAAAACCCCTTCTGGCTTTAAATCCTATGATGCCTAAGCTTCTAACTTGATTTTATGAACTACAGTCTAACCTACCCAGTTTAGGAAAGTAGGGACCTCCCCATCTCTGCTTCTTCTCCCACCCATCCTCCTGCCCACATGAAACACCCACTTACCCAGAAAAGCAGTGAGCTGCAGTAAGGACCCAGCTGGGATGGATCAGGGTCCCCCCACAGACATGGACAAACCTCTGGCTCCCTTGGACCCGAGCCTGAGAGTGAGGAGAGGAGAGAAGATGCCCCAACATGTTTGGGCCAGCATAGGACACTATTTTCCTAGGGTGCTGAAACATTTTGTGTGTCAAGAGTCCATGGTGGGCCTCCCTCTTCTTGGCCAATAATGTCTCACAGGAACGTGAAGGTATAGGTGATAGAGGAAAGATAGCTAACTAATGTCCGGGGAAGGGGGAGGAAGGGAAGAGAATGGAAGAGGGGGAAATGGAGAAATTAAAAGTACTCTAGGAAAATTTGAAGAGTGTGGGTGCCTAAAAGCCAAGTTTCTGTAAGCTAAATTAAATCAAATATTTGTGCATCAATTCTACTTTAAATGTACTATTTCACTTTCTATGACCTCTGGTACTTAGGAATACCTCACATTACCTAAATATATGCTTTTGAAAAAATAAATCCTGATACTACTTAGGAATTTCCATTTTTATTTTGAATTTTGAATTTTATTTGATACATAAAGAAATCCTGCAGCAAGCTCCTTTGCAATGAGAAGTACACTTCCTTAAACCTATTTTTTAGGTAAATTTGGATTTTCCTCTTCTCAGTTTGCTCATAGTGTTCACCAGTATCCTCAGAAAAAGTGGATTGAGTGTAGGCTTTCAACAGATAGCTAGTAATTGGAATTGATGAGTACTTCCTTTCTCCAAATACCAGAATTTTATGCTTCCACTATGAATCTGACCTCATAGAGTTCAAGTTCGTAGGTGTATCAGGGATAGAAAAGTCAAGAAAAGGCCATACAGCCGCTTGAGGTCAGGGAGGCAGCATGGTCACATATTCAGGTGACCAACTGAAGACATTGCTTACTAATGGGGGATAACCCTCTGACATTCCCTCCTCGAGGGTAGCGCTGACCGGGGTTGAGGAGGTGGGGTTGGGGGACTGAAACAAAGCTCTTCTTGTGAGTGGCCCCTGAAGGAAAGCACCCAGCCCTATCTCTGTCCCAAGCCCTCATGCCCTCTACCCTTAAAGCCACCCTGAAGCTAGCATCCTAGGGAACAATCCTACCTGCACGGACACCTGCCAAGGCCATGAGTGAGGTCTGGCCTCACTGCCCTGGACGATTCTCTCAGCAGAGTTGGAGTGGTGTAATAGGGCCACACCACAGTCCTGGGGCCAGTCTGGAAGGAGGAGGGACAGGACACTGCAGTGGCCTCAGCATCCCAGGTGGGAGGAACCCCTTCCCCAGTGCTTATCTCATCGAGGCTCCACAGAGTGAAGGAACACTTGAGCTTACTGCTTAAGGAATATGACGGAGTTCAGGATGAAATGGCAAATGACAGATTTTCTGTTGCTCTGGGAACCCGTACTCCCAGATTCCTAGCTCCCTCACCTCTCCCTCGCTCAGAGGACTCCGGACAGGTTCCTGGCCAGAATCTGCAGTAACTGCTCCCACCCCCCACCTCTCACCCCTATTTTACCCCTCCTCTCCCATTTCCTATAGGCTGTTATGGAAGTTAAGGCCTTGCCTGGTTGTCAGGGACAGCTTCCAAGAGCCCTTCACGGGAAGCTTGCTGTCCAGGACTTAGGACAATAGCTCCATTGTGCCGGACTCCACCAGGCTCCCCCACCACCTGTGGGACTCTGGACATTCAATACCAGCCCAAACACACAGGGAGACCAAGGTCTTCACTCACCCAAGGTCTGGTGCCCAGTGAACGCCACTGCCCCAGCTGGCAACAGCAAGGCAAGAAGGAACAGCAGAGCCAGGAAATTCATGACCAAGCACGGCCTTGTTCTAGGGAGAGTGTGGGCTGGAGAATTTATACCCTGCCTCCCTGGGGTTGAGGCCTCTGGTTCTGATGAAACGGCTGGAACAATGCCTGGCGGATGCCAGCTAGGGCCTGGATGCTTCTGCCTGGGGCCAGAAGTTCTACCACAGCAACAAGGCACACAAGCAGGCAGGCTTGGCCATCAGCAGTTTTGCCCAGAGAAAGGACCAATAGAATAGAAAGTAACAGCCCAGCCTCCCCCCACTCTACCCATATATCCCTAGCCTCTCTCTTAGGGAGCCCTTGGAAATTGGGCTCCTGCTTCCTTCTGTGGTGCAGAACTCCAGAACAAAGAGATGTGGGATGCAGGAATCACTGAATCCTGAGTAGTCCAACACCTTAGGCAAAGCTGCCCCTATTACGAGGCAGCTGGTGGATAGAGCATTGGGCCTGGGGTCAGTTAGACCAGAGTTCAAATCCAACCTCAAACACTTGTTGTAATCGTAACTAGTCACTTCCCTTCCATTTGTCTGTTTTCCCATCTGTAAAATGGGGATAATAATTGTACCTACCTCTCAGGATTGTTCTGAGGATCAAATGAGATCATTGTAAAGCATTTAGCACAGTCCCTGGCACATGGTAGGCCCTATATAAATGCTTATTTCCTTCCTTTCCCCCTTCTACTCCTAGTCTCACTGAATGGACTTCTTCCAGTTGGATACCTTCCTTCTGAGGAATGATTCCCTCCACATTTCTTCACGGAGCAGCGAACGGATAGAATGCCTAGCCTAGAGTTGGGAAGACCTGATTTCTGGCCTCAGACACTTCCCAACTGTGGGCAAATCACTTCACCTTTGTTTGCCTCAGTTTCCTCATCTGTAAAATGGGGATAATAATAGCACCTCCCTCCCAGGATTGTCATGAGGATAAAATGAGATAATATTTGTAAACCATTTGGCACCATGCCTGGCACATAGTAAGCCCTGCAGAAATGTTAACTATTATTACGGCTAACACTGATGCTGCTTACTATAATTTATCTTGTCCCTTGATGCGCTGCTTGTCTTATCTGGTCAGGGACCTATTACAATCTATCATCATGTCTTACATTTACATTGGACTCCATCATCACCATGTTTTTACTGAGTATTTATTGTATTGGACACTTATAAAAATCTGTATTGCTGTCTTTTGTTTTTATATCACTTCTATTTTCCTAACATATGTACCTCCTTCCCTCTCCCAGAAAGCCAAACCTTACACTGGTTATTTTTAAAGCACTTTCACATAAATTAAGTAATTTACTTCACAGCAGGTATTACCACTTAAATCAGAGGTGTCCGACATGTTCCCTCCCCTGTCCCCTACCCCAGCTACCTGCAGCCCACAAACACTCCAGAGTGCCACCTGGAATTATATTAAAATGTAATTGGGAAATATTTAGCAAAATGAAGCAAAATACAATACAACATAACATTAATCTGTGATTCTCTTAGTCAACGTGTGGTCCAGCAAAGGTCCTTTCTATTTGAGTTTGACAGCATTGATTTAAATGGTTAGTAGACTGGGGCTTGGAGAAGCCATTCCATAGGGTAATAGAAATAGCACTGAACTGAGAGCCAGAAGACCTGGGCTCTCATCTCAGCCCTGCAACTAACTTGCCAAATGGCCTTAGCTTACTTCTTTCCTCTGGGTCTCCATTTCTTCTAAAGGGGTTTGGATTAGACCATGAGATTTAGGGTTGGGAGCCTAAAGGTAACTAACAAGCAGACTGAAGATTTGAATACCGGCCATCTGGAAAGAGCTTTGTCTACGGAATTAAAAGATCTGGCTTCAAACTCTACCTCGGACACTTACTACATATATGAAGTGGACCAGAAGGCTTCCAAGGTCTCTTCTAGCTCTAAATCTATAATTTTTTGACTACAAATTCAGTTTTCTGGAAGACAGTATGGAAAGTGGATCTGGAATAAGTAGATCTGGGTTCAAATTTCACTCATGTGATCTTGGGCCAGTCACTAAAGCTCTCCCTGAGCCTTAGTATTCTCATCTCCAAAATGGGGATAATAGTATTCTCACATGGCTGTTGTGAAGAAAATTCTCTACAGATTTCAAAATGCTACATATTCTACATAAATTTTAAAATGCTATATATTCTATATTCTGTAATAATAGAAAGAGGTCACTATGGTCTTCTTTTTCAACTCGACGATTCTAAGACTTGCCCAAGGTCACCCAGCTATTGAGCAATACATGTCAAAGTAAAACCCATGTCTCCAGATTCTGAGCCCTGTGCGTTTTTTTGTTTTTTTTTTGCACTAGCCCATAAGACCTGCTTGAATCAAACCAAGCATCACATCTACCTCAGTGCAAACCTGTTGAGGGAGGGGTGTGTGTGTGTGTGTGTGTGTGTGTGTGTGTGTGTGTGTGTATAAGAGAGAAAAAGAGGTTTCCTCATTTCATGAATAAACTGAGGCGCAGAGAATTTATCTGATTCAGCTACTCCCACTCTAACACAGGAAGTTATGGAAGCTGAATCTTAACAGTTGCCTCAACTTAATGATAGGAGATTGGGAAAAGCTTATTCTGGGACCATATATGTACCTGGGATCACCCTGTCCCATCACCATGTGGTAAGTTGCCACCTAATGTAGCTACTGTGCAGTAGGTGGTGGTTACTTACCAAATAGGATTTAGAGTCCAGAAAAGCCAGGCCTTAATCAATATGTTTCCTCCACTGATGACTGAAATTCTATCATTTAGTAAATCATTCATTTTAAGTAAGCCTGGAGAGGACAAAGAATACTCCCAAAGGATTGAAGGGAGGGACAATGGAAAAAAAGGACATGGAAAGTGAGCAGCTGGCTAAAAAGGTGGTGTTTGTTAGAGAACGAGATTTGGCATTCTGCACCTCAGTATAGAAACAGGAATAATGAATTCCTGGCAAGAGACAGATATGCCTCTGCTGCATTCTCTGCTTCTGAAAGCCAAGAAGAAGTATTTTCCTAGAGGCTTGCAAACAAGAGGGATTGTTGTTTAAAGGAAAATAAGAGAGAAAAATATCCAGATACAACTGTGAAGCCAGGTACCATTTAAAAAGCAGTCCAGCACAGGACAAATGGGGCAGCTAAGTGGCACAGTGGATAGAGTGCTGGACCTGGAGTCAGGAAGACTCATCTTCCTGAGTTCAAATAGCTGTGCTATTTGATAGCTATTGATAGCTGTGTGACCCTGGGCAAGTCACTTCATCCTGTTTGCCTCAGTATCCTCATCTGTCAAATGATCTGGAAAAGGACCTGGCAAACCACTCCAGTATCTCTGCCAAGAAAACCCCAAACGGGGTCCTGAAGAGCTGGACATGCCTGAAAACGACTTAACAATTCTGAACAATAAGGAAGAAACTGGTTGGTGAAGTAGAAATGGCTAGAGTATTGGGAGAATATATTTCATGCAAAGTCTGATGTATACCTAGACTTTAGGAAACCAAACTTCACAGGTCTCGATAGGTTCCTATGGCAGAGACTCTACAAGGGAAGTGAGCTCAAGAGGAAAGAAGGGCTCTCAAGAACAAAACTCTGCTGATATGAACAAGTCATTCTGATGAGGAGGAAGGCCAGGTAAAGCTCAGGGTGAATGCACATGGAACCAACCCATAAGCTCAACATTTTCAAAGATATATACAAAAGTTAGAAATGAGAGGAGGGGAAGATGAAAGGGAACAGGTATTTATACAGGGCCTATTGTGTGCCAGGGACCATGCTAAGTGCTTTCTTTACAAATATTATCTCGTTTGATCCTCACAACAACCCTGCAAGATAGGTGCTGTTATTATCCCCATTTTACGGTTGAGAAAATTGAGACAAGCAGAGGTTAAGGGACTTATCCAGGTATGGCAGCTAGTAACGGTCCGAGGATAGGTTTGAACTCAGGTCTTTCTGATTCTAGGTCCTGTACTCTATCCACTGGTGCTACCCAGCTTCCTTAAGTAGGTGACTAAATACAAAAAGTGGTCTCTTTTAATAGCATGGTTAGTACAAAGTCCAGAATAAATTTCCATTTCTGGAAAATGCCAATAACAAGAAGATCTTTTTAAATTATCTTAGGGGGAGAAATCAGAATTATGAATCTATTTTGCTCGTCTTCCTTTTCAACGATAATCATCTTTTTCTGGCTTTAAGGTTAGAGAAATAGTCCTCAGGGAATGGAAACCTAAGACAAGGGAGGCCATCATAAGACCTTGCTGACCTCACTGAGTTCTAGTCACCAGACCCAGAAAAACTTCTATATGTGGTTGTTAAACCACTCTTAGTTAGTAAGACGTAAGGAATCTTAGAGAGTGGAACAAAGGCCGCGGGGCTGGAGATGAGGAAATATTGTCCCATTTTCCAAAAAAAGGGAGTAAAATTGATAGTCCACAGACAAGTTTGACAGACCAGCGGACTTAACATCAAGTCCTGACAACATTCAAGCATGGCTTATTAAAGGGATGATGGAGGAAGAGCATGCCAGGTAAGGATCTTAAACCCCCAAGCTGGGGGGAGAGGGCAGCCAGAAGCCCCTCATGCATTGGGGGTTGGGATATGTGATATGAGCAGCTGTCAGGTGTCAGCTTTATCAAGGATCTCAAGAAACCATACACACACTCCTTGTTCTTTGTCACTCTAGATGGGAGATGAGGGGAAAAGATGAATGGGGCAAATGACTTCAACAAAGAAAAGTCCACGTTTCAGTGGAAAGAACCTTTGATTCACAACCAAAATTTCAAATCTCAGCCATGCTAAGAAGCTGTTCTGTATTTTGCTACATAGTCAAAGTGCTTTGCGGTATTTGATACCTACCCAGAAGCTATGAAGACACTTGCTGGGTTGTGAGACCGTGGAGCTAGTTTCAGGGATGGGGCTGCCTTCTCTTTCCAAAGTAGAAAGAAGGCTGTTAGAATAAAGGCCCCTCAAACGTTTTACATGAGTGCACATGTATAACTTATATTGGATTGCTTACCATCTCAGGGAAAAAGAGGGGAAGGAGGGAGGGATAGAATTTGGAACTCAAAACTTTAAAAAATGTTTTAATGTGCAATTAGGGGGAAATATTACTTAAAAAAAAAAAAAGAATGAAGGTCCTTCTAAGACCCATTGCATCATACCTGCATCTTGAGAGGGCTGGAGATATCGTTCAGACATAAAGCCCTCTTGAACAGGCCGTTCCTATGAGGAGCCCTTGAAAATCCTACCATGTTTCCAGGTAAGCTATTTATTTTTCCATTCATAAAGGATGATGGCAGTTTCTGAGGTTTCAGTTACAGGATCCTAGAATTTACTCTTAAGTCATTGCTAAAGAAATCATCTGATACCTGTGAAATTATTGCGAATGAGATAACAGATGTATGGTCCTTTGCAAACCTTAAAGCTCTTATAAATGCTAACTATTACGATTACTGTTACCTGAGTCCTAGGACTTGTAGTCTGTACAGATGTGAAAAACAGGTAATCCATGTCTTCTGAAGAGGAAGAAAGGCAAAAATCACAGAAAGATCAAGATGAATGCAAAGAGACAACGAGAAACAACAAACAGATGGAGCCAGAGGGCCAGAGTCACAGAGAGCTTTCTCATCTGAGACTTGGCCTTTTGGGCAAAGGTTCTTAAACTTTTTGTGTGTCATGGACCTCTTCTCAGAATAATATTTTTAAACATATAAAATACTTGGGATTACAAGGAAACTAATTATACTGAAATACAATTTTCAAAATACTTTTTAAACACAATTCCGCAGACCCCAGGTTAACAATTCTCTGCTGCTGTACCTACAAAAGAATGAATCTCAAATGGAGCACCTTAGTCGAGCGCTTTTTCCACGAAGCAGAGCACTGTTTAAAGTTCACCAACAGGAAAAGGGATTGAAATTATTCTGGGCAGAAGGCAGGACTAGAAGGCAGATAGATGAAGTCCTGTTCCTTCTCAGTACTTTGGGCCACAAGCACAGAGACTCCTATTCTCTGACAGGGTTCCAGTAAAGCGGCACGTGGTCAATAGGAAAACCCAGCTAAGGCATGAAGTGAGCTCACCAAGGACCAGTTGTAAGGATGATGTTCAGATGGGGTGTTTCCAAGTGACCGGAGAAGAAACAAGTAACATTGCACCCTTAGGACAGGTAGAGGTAAAACTTGCCAATTCACTCAGTGAATTCCTTAACTTGGTCCCACATCTCAGGTATTCTGTCTGGGCTCTTCTTCCTGCCTGACATGAGTCTCTGAAATCTACACAAAAATTTCCATGCCTATAATATTCCTCGGGGCCTTGGGAGCTTGAGTTTCAGGAATGCTAGGTATGGGCAAAGGTAAAACAAGTAGATTACTATCTGTTCATTCATAAGCCATTGAGGTTTCTGTCCCTGGGAAGAAGTGTCTCCACAGTGATGAATGTCTGCCCCCAATGACCTGAATACAAGAGAATCTGAGTTAAGAAGCAGCTTGTCATTCATACACAAAGGTGTCAAACAAAGGGTACTCCTCAGTGTGACGTAAACCAGATTAAAATGTAGTTCCCATCTGATTGTAATGTGTTGGTGTATTATTTTATTTTTTTTTAAATATACATAAACATGTGTGGTTTTCTAATATGTGGGCTGCCAGGATCCCTAGGTACAGTTTAGTGGCCCTATTTCTATTTGAGTTGGACACCACTAGGGGAATGGGTAGGACAGTGGACTTAGAATCCGGAAGGCCTTGTGAGAATCCTGCCTCAGACACTTACTAGAAGGACAACTTGGGAAAGTCAACCTCCCTATGCCTCAGTTTCCTTCTCTGCAAATTGGGGTAGGAGGGAATACAGGTTGGACTTGATGCCTCTTAAAGACCATTCTAGTTCTAAACCTACCATCAACAGTTGGTTCCCAGAATATACTCCTGGAGAAAGGAAAAAAGAAAAACAGGGGGCTATCACTTATTACTAAGACGGCATTTTACACATCAATTCAAACGTGACCTGTGACTGCAGGATGTAGCTATGCCCTAGGATGTACTCAGCATGGGAAATCCTAGAGCCCATGACAGAAGAAGGGATGTGGCAGGAAAGGGGAAGAGAGAGAAGAAATGAAGGAAAATTTTCTTCATTTACATCACTGTGGTCAATATCGTATGTTGTTTCCCTGGTTCTGCTTACTTCGATCCGCATCAGTTCTTACAACTCTTCCTATACTTCTCTGAATTCTTTATTAGGAATGAATGAACAAAGCATTTATTAAGTGACAAAGCACTGTGCTAAGCCCTGGGGGATACAAACAGAAAAGTAAGGCAGCTTCTGTTCTCAAGGAACTCATATTCTAATTGGGAAGACAACACATAGGATTGCTTCAGTTTCATGTCAGACGAGAATGACCCGTGGGCCTCAGCATGCAGCAGAAAAGCAGGTGATGTAGAGGTAATGCCTCTTCTTTAATACCATTTCCATTGAAATGGAGTAAAATTGGGGGCAGCTAGGTGGTGCAATGGATACAGCACCCTGCAGTCAGGAGGACCTGAGTTCAAATCTGGCCTCAGACATTTGACACTTACTAGCTGTGTGACCCTGGGCAAGTCACTTAACCCCATTGCCTAGCCAAAAAAAAAAAAAAAAGAAAAAGAAATGAAGTAAAATGAAAACCACATTGCAATAATGTGGGAGGAGAGGCATATACACCCATACACCCATACACACACACACACACACACACACACACACACACATACACGTGTATGTATATAAATATGTCATATAAGGAAAAGATGGAATATTTGGCATTGTCAAAAATGTATCCAATATATGTATGTGCGTATATGCACACACACATGCACACAAGAGACATCAACAAGGCTTAATAGAAATGAGAAAGGGGAAAAAATGGAAGAATCACTGGGTAGCTATTTCCCCTACCTAGCTAAGACTTGGTTTCTCAGAATGGGTATTTTTTTTTTTTGGCAGCATGGGTATTTTTAATGTGATTTTTCCTTTTTTTTTTTTTCAGGTAACTCCCAGCATTCCAAGTGCTTAGATACTTAGATCCAGAAGGAAAAGAGATCTATTGTACCATCTGTCTAACTTAGTCCTTATTTCCCATGAATATTGGCTCATATATAGAAAGAACTGAAAAAAAATTAATTTTAATTTAAGTATGTCCAGCTTCTTGCACCAATTATATCATTGGGAACCTTGAGAGAGAATGAAATGTCTCAACTTAAAGTTCATATAAGAAAAAGATGGGATATTTGGCATAGTCAGGCATTAGGAAAGATTTTTAAAAGCTGAGGGAAAAGGTAAGGAATTACCTCAAGGCCAAAGCTTCCAAAAGAGCTTAGGATGGATTAAATATTCTAAAAAATTAAGCTCCTACTATACAATCATGAATAATCTCAATGATCAAGAAAGGGGTCAGCTGTCTAAAGAAGTTAATGTGACTTCATAGCTTGTTCACTGATATTTTTCTGTTTTAAAAGGACATTTTAAAAAAATGTGCTAATAGGCATGTGCCAAGGAGGCATAGAAGCACGTGGCACATAAAGCCAGGAAATCCAAAGCCCAGAATGAACTGAGGTTTGTTTAAAAAAAAAAAAGTCTAAAGCCTACAAAACAGGCCATTTGTTCAAAACAAATATGAGCCTCCAAAAGGAGGATGGCCCTTCTCACCCCAACACCCCTCCTTTCACTAGGCCAGCTACTTCACTAAGTAGATCCAGGCCCTGCATCTAGAGCTTCCCCTACTACACAAACTATGCTTTCTCTTCTTCTTTGTTCCTGTCCTCAAGAAAGAAGTATCTCTTCTATCCAAGGTAAATCTCTCTATTCATCCTCTTTTTTTAATGAACTTGACAAAAATAAACATGACCACTTCCATATACAAAGAACAGAATGAAGATTATATACGAAACTGTGAATCTGTTATGTACAGCATGCTTTAAAAACATCCATTAAATTTAATTCATTGACCCATATTCTTGATCCCATCCTCCCTCACCTCCCCTGAGAACCCACTCCCTCAATTATTACCTCCTCATTTTGTATCTTCATTCTTTCTTTTTCCAATGGCTCCTGCCCCTCAGCCTACCTTCATGCTCAGGTCCCCCTCTCCCTCTTCTGAAAACTCCTTCCCCTTCTATCCTGTACCTCCCTAGCTACCTTTATCTTTTTCTACTTTTCTTTGCAATTGAGCTTCAGAAAAGAATAGTGAGTATTCAGTGCCTCCACTTTCTGTCCGTGCATCCGCTCTTTAATAATCTGGCTTCTGGCTCTACTTTCTTGAAGGTCTCGTATAAACAATAATGATAAGAACTTTCTCTTCAGTTATACTCCTGGGCCTGACACCAAGGACCACCCTTTCCCTCTACTTCCATTATGCTGTAGTTTTTGCTTCTTGGACCACTCTTTCTCTGATTGCTAGCTCCTCTTACTGACTGTAAGAAATTAATGAGGAATTTAGAGAAGCCTGGGAAGACTTGTATGAGCTGATAGAGTGAAGAAAAAAAACAAGCACAAATGACTACAGTAACGTAAATAAAAACAACACAGAAACATATTTACTCTGAATAAATGCAATGACCACGATGGAATACAGAGTCAAGGAAACTATGGGTGGCCAATGCAGCATGGAATAGACACAGTTACAATACCGGTCAGTTTAGCTTGATTAGTTTTCTTTGTTAAAACTGAGAGGTAGGAGAGGGGAAAGGAAGGGCATATAGGTAAACACATAAAAGGTGGGCAGGATATTAAGTTGCCCTAAAGATAGCTAAAAACTAACTAGAGTAAAGATATAATGCCCAATGGGGAATAGTGGAGATTTGATGCCTGGTGGAAAACTGGCTGAGCAGAGAACATCACCACGACACACCAAACAGAAGAAACTGGTGGATGTACAGCAGTATGTGTTAGAGATATATGTTGCTTCTTCACATCTGTGCTCTAGCCACACATATTACCTGTCTGTGTGCTTCAACTTGTGAGTGCTTTGGCAACATACATATCCCCAATGGTATATTATTCCTATTTTCTCTTTCCCCTGAGAGTATGATTATTTGTGGGAGAGTGAGGTCAAGGTTTATATCGGGAATGTTCTGCTATAATTGTTATTATTATGGTATTTCATTAATGCTTTTGCTTTGAATTAAATATATCTTCTGCACGACTAGTAAAAGTAAACACACTGGTACCTACAAGCTATGGTTTTGAAAGGATTCTGACCTACAAAGTACCTAGAGTAGCTTTCTGGAGTGGGGCGTTTCAGGGTAATGGGTCCCTTGTGCCACATAATTGTTAAACAATGGAATAGGTTGTCTTGCAAAGTAGTAAGTTCTGTCAAGGGGTGGCTTTTAAAAATTCCTAACCATTTCTCAAAGATACTGTAGAGGAGATTCAATTAGATGACCTCTAACATCCCTTCTAAATCTAAAATTGTGTGATCCTCTACTACAAATGAGTGGATTTGCTATAACCAAAATAAATTATTAAATTAAAAATCTCCAGATTGTTCCTTTCCTAGCCCTGTAAACTTTCTTAACCCATCTTTCTCCAAACCCACAGTTTCACTTGTGCAACTGAATTAGGAAGGGGTATGGGGGACCTATTTCCCATTTCCTACTGTCTCCTTGAATTTTGATATTTAAAAAACCCTCACCTTCTGATCTAACCTGGCTTCTGATTTATGCTTATGTGGATGCTTTTTGGGGCCATCTCCTTCCCCCTAACAATGGAAGATGACTTTCTCTTGCTCCCTCACCCCCACCCCATGAGTGCCACAACCCCTACTTCTAGGGATGTGAATGAAATGAACCACCATCTTGGCAAAGTTTTGGAAGCTGCCTTCTTATTCACAGTGATTTAAAAACACACACACAATCATAAGGGAACCCAAAAAGTCATGTTGTAAAATAAAGTCACAACTGAAGGATCGAACTAGCGACACTGTAAACATTAAACCACAGCAGGTGTCAGACTTGTGGCTGAATTGGACAAACGTATCTTCATGCCCCAATTTAGTCTTTAAGCTCACATCTGATAACTGAGTTGCTGGACCTGAACTAATTAACTCAGTTAGTTTGAGCTTGGAGATAATTAGGACAACACTTTGGGCTCAATCCCCATGGGGGCCAGTTAACTTTGCACAGAAAAAAAAAATAATAACCTTTGGTTCCCTGACTAGAGGCTGAGATATTAACACTGACCAGAGACTGATACTGTACCCTAAACCCAGCCATAAATTGACAATACTCCAACCCTAACTATATATAAATTGATCCCTAATCCCAGCCTAATCCCTTAATACCAAAAACTGACTGAGCTCCTAATTGTAGTCAAAGATCGATCCCCTAACCTTGGCCACATACTGACTCCTTAAATTTTAATACAAATTGACCTCCCCCCCTCCCCCTACCCCAGGGATCAGCCTACATCTTAAATCCAGTCACAGACTGACATTCCTGTCAACTCTGGTCCTAGATTGAGCCCCAATCCCAGTCCTAAATCCTAAATACAGAATGAGCTAGGAGCTAATAACTCCTATGAACAAGCTGACCCTCTAATCTTGACCTTGGACTGACTCCCTAACTATGGCTATAAACTGAGCCCTGGCTCTTAGTCCCTTAGTCCTGGCTGTAGCCTTAGGAGAGGGAGCATGGTATAGTGAAGAGTGCTGGATTTGGAGCCATGAAGACCTCAGTTCAAATCCCACCTCAGACACTTATCAGCTGTTTGGCAAAATGAGAACAGTTGGACTGACTGACCTATCAGGTCCCTTCTAACTCTAAATCCGTGCTCCTATAACTTAAAACTAGCTACAAACTGAGCCCTGCCTAACCTGTCCATAACCCTCAACAACCCCACCCTAAGCAAACACTGAGCATTAATGAGGATCATAGACTGATCCCAAACACTCCCACCTTCAACTTAGCCACAGATTTAGCCCCAACCCTGATCCTTGGACACAAACTTGCTCCAACCAAGACTGAGCCCCTCACCATGGCCGCAGGCTGGGCTGGAGTCCTGGCCATGGGCTGACCCCAAGCTCTGGCCACAGACTCCAGTTGACCCCTTGCAGCTGCTCCCAGGGGGGAACCAGAAAAAAATGAGGGCAGCTTAGCACAAGTCTGCATCAACTTCTGGAGCTATAATTTAGTAATGTCGTCTTTGCACACCAAGGGCGGCACATTTTTCATATTGCCACAATATCACATGCACACCAATACACTAAAACAGCAGAAGGGACAACAACCTTACAGAGAAGAGAAGGAAAAGCATCAGAGGAAGCAGCATGAGCACATTTCCTATCATGGGGTGGTATTAGCCCTTTCGTTACATTTCATTTTTGGAAAAACACAAACACAATGTACACATACACATACACACACACACACACACTCACACACACATAAATACACAAATCTAAAAACTAAGGCGCTAAGCAGCATGGGCCAGTGCAAAAAGAACACAGATTGGGTTCACTTTGGTACCAGAATACTATGGTGGTTTTCTTTTTTTCTTTTAAAAAAAAAAAAGTCAAGAGCAACTAGGAGAACCCAAGGCTCAGGCTCAGATCTTTCCCCCAAACAAAAGGGAATGTTAGCATTAGTTTCTCCTCTTGATCCAATTTTCCTGGTTTAAAAATGGCGAGTGTGCAGGCAGATACTGGTATCCATCCATATTCCATGATCCACACGGAAGATCCAGGAAGGCCTTGTGGGCCCACCTGAAAACATGACAATCCACCTATGTGCCAGGACCACTGGACATGCTTTACAACACATGTTCTGACCCTGAAGCTCCCCTTGTGGGCATGTTACATGGCACCAGATCCTGCCCCACATTTCAGTGTGGGCCATGCAATGTCCAAAACAAAACAAAACAAAACAAAACAACTTCACTGGCATTCACATCATCATTAAAAAGGCAACACCTGGGTGTCTTGCAGTTTACTATGCAAAAGCCTGAGCTACTTGCTGAGTTTCTGTGGGGAACTCCCAAAATGATAAAAATGACACCCTAGGTCCTTGGACTTGGGAGGGTAAACAGAAGGACTGCCCCCTTGAATGTAAGCTGCATTTATATGCTATAATTTCCCAAAATCATGACAATGTGGTCACACTTATGAAAGGTGGGACTTCCTATGCACCCCAGCACCTTTGTCTCTCTTCCTTTCCCATCAGAACTTGTTCTCAGAAAAGGAGCTGACAAACTTATTCACATTGAGGTGTATGCAGTCACATAAGGCTTAATACCTGACACCCCTTCTCCAGGGAGCATTTGCATTTTAACAGGTGCCAGAGAGCATTAAACTAACGGGATGATGCTCAAATCATGGAATTTCAGGCAGCTTGACAAATATTGTGGGGGCAGAGGTTCTTTCCTGACGTCCCTGAAATCAAACCACGTGATTTACTGATGCCTCCGAAATCAGACATCACTAACTGTCCTGCCTATTCATAACGCTAGCCCCAGCACACATATTGCAATTAAATGTTTTCTGAAGTAGGCCTTTCCTTTGAAAACAGTCCATTCCACCTGCAGTGAAGAAATAATTCAGACCTAACAGAAGTCCCCGAGCAACTTAGTAATTCATTAACTGAGCAATGACAGAAAGGCAACCACTATCAGGTGGAGGGGGATCATGGGGAGAGCTCACGTTTGGTATTGAGGTTTCGTAAGACTACAGCATTAGGTCTGAAATGAGGTTAACCAATGTCACACTGGAAAAAAAAAAAGAATGCTTTAAAGCTAAACTTTGAAAGCTAGTCCCCAGTAACAAGAGATGCAGAAAATAGATTCTTCCCTTTAAAAACCCAGACACACTCCTCAGCGCTTATGGCACCTAAATAGATGAGCTAGAGTCTCGCTCCAGCACAGGAAGGCAGAGATGGGTGATGAGTCAACGGGCAGAGATTTTTCAATGGCAGTCAACTGACAATTTCCACCTCTTTTCCCTTTCCTCCCACTTGGATCTACTGGAAGCGTTGCTAATTAAGTGACTGCCTCAGACACTTCTTATCCATACAGGCTGGCATCTTAATCCCAGAGGGCTTTGCAATGATTTTTTTTTTCCTGAATAATGCATCTTCTATTGCAGAGGGAACCAGCCAACCCCAGAAAGTCTCAGGGTAGAAAGGAAAGGGCATCTTCGTTATTCTACGGCAGTGCTCGAATGGACACAACAGCTGGGACGTCTCAGGGACTGGATCATGGTTCGAAAGGGCCTTCTTTTCCCCTCCTTAATCAGGGCCTCCTCACCACCTGGCTGGGTGCCCTCTTTTGAGGGAACAGTCTGGAACTGCTCAATCTGAATCTCCAGATGTTTCTGGATGGCCAGGCCCAGAACTTCTGGATCAACCGAGGCTCCATATACCTCCCAGGTCATCCCCTCTTCATCCCACCTGACCTCTCGCACTGGGGACTTAGGCTCCTCTCTGCTGACCTCCAAGTTCACCTCTGGGAATACATGTGGGGGCACCTGGTCTTTGAGCGGGGAGGGACTGGTGGCCACAGCCTTGCAGGCTGTCGATGGAGCTGTCTGGACCTCAGCATCCCTGCAATGCAGAGAGGCCAATGGCCCCAATGCCAAGTCACCAGTGGAAGTCATGGTCGACACATCTTTGGTCTTGGTGACAGGGTCTGTAGCTGGTTGGCTTACGAGGAGCATAGAACCTGCTGCAGATTCCTGCTGTGGGCACTTGATTGGAGCATAACAATGAATGCAAACTGGGGCCTCATCTGCCAGCCTGCGGTATCTAACCAAATGCTGGTTATGGAGGCCAGATTCACTCACAGATGACACCAGCTTGGGAAACGTCAGAATCTCTGATGTGGACAGGACGTGGCAGCATCCAGCAACACCCATTTCATTCATGGCGCACAGCATCCCAGGGTCAACCTGGAGGGCTGGGATGGGCAGGGGGTGGCAGTAGGCAGAGTGGGTATCACTTGTCCTCACAGAAGTTTCTGCTTGTCTAGGACAGTAGGGAGAGGAGGTGGTATGTATGTGACCAGGAGCCATGGGCACCGAGCATGAGCGGATGCTACCTTGGGTCCTACCACCTGGATCTTGAATTGAGTCACTCCTACAGCTGTCTCCAGGTATCTGGACCTCTACCACAGTGGCAGATAAGGTAGCTACTGTATCTCTACCAGCCTCAGCATCCTGTGAGACCAGATCACCTCCAACATTGTCAGTTGAACTTTGAGGGTCAGAGAAAGGAGGCTGGTTGCCTGGGTTCACATTGTCATGAGGCCCTATGCCAGGCCTCTGCATGAACACATTTCTTGGAATGAGATTGCTTCTTCCATTTGATGAGGAGCCCAGGGCAAAACAGCTAACGCTAGCTTCCATGGGAACACTGAGGCTGAGATACCTGCAGCCTGAGGCTAAGTCAGAATGGCTTCGTTGCACTGTGCCTCCTGGCACCCCCAAGCTTGAAGGTGAGAGTTCACTCTCCCCCATGGAGTATACATTTCCAACAGTGCTGCTCTTGGAGAGGAAGACTGAGCTCTTCTCTTGCCAGGGGCAGGGGACCTGATCTGGGCTCAAGATGTGGCTCCCTGCTCTCAAGGTACTCTCCATTTCTTTTTCCACTGTGGTCCCAACACTGCTCTCTCCAGCCAGCTGGCTTGGGTCACCCTCCGCAGCAGGACTCTGGCAGACTGTGCTACTGACACTCTTCCGGAGCTCCTGCCCGTTGCCTGGTCTATCACCCAGTAGGCTGGAGGAGCTCTTAGAGAGGGGCTGGCCATGGAGAGTCGAGGCTGGGTGGCACTCTGGGTGAGAGTCATTGGTAGCCATGGCCAACAGAGGCTTCCCTACAGGGAGAAGAGAGCACTTTCAGGGCCCTGGCAGAAAGTAAATGGCAAATGAGCACGATTCAGGTTCACCAATCCAGAAATTCAATTTAATTCAATTCATCAAGTTTATATTGAATGCCCAATATGATAAGCCCTTTGGAGGATACAAAGAAGTCTAAAATATTTTCTGACCTCTAGGAGCCCACCATTTGGCCAGGGGGATTAATGAAGGGAGCTCATGAGGTGTAATGGAAAGACCACCAGGATTCAGAAGATCTGGGCTTTATGCCTACTTCTGCCCCTTGCTTGTCACGTGACTTTAGGTAATTCACATAACCTGAACCTCAGTTTCCGTAGATGCAAAACAGAGATAATAATCACCCTGCCAATCTTACTAGCTGATTGTGAAGAACAAACGAAATTATTTCACAGACCTGGATGGAGGATGGCAGAGCAGGAGGGCATACAACAGCCACTCTCAAATCTTGGTTGTTCCTTTGCTTACCATCCAACCTTTGGAATGTGGATTTTAATGACTCCTCACTGGAGGGAGTTAGGATGGCACAATGGAAATAGCATTGGACTGAATCAAGAGACCTGAGTTTTAATCCTAACTCCATCAATATGTGGACTCACACAGTTCACTGGCCTTCGATTTTTGTCTGTAAAAGGGGGATAATAAAGATTTCCGGACGGGCCGTGCAAAGTTATGAGTTTGAAATGAGATGAAAGTATGAAAGTTCTTTCACAGAAGTAAGAATTACATACTGCAAATTCAAATAATTCCTTGGACCTAACAATGGGCATGGAAAGTATTTCTTAGTGTGCCATGATAGACCTCTGTCTTGAAATTCCATTGGTTCTTCCTATTCCCTGAACCCATTCTCATTCTCTCAGAATTCTTCTTTCAGGGACACTTCCAGAAGAGAAGTGTGGGGGCCAATGGTTGGGGATGGAGAAGGTAACAGGCTGTCCTTTTGAGACCTTCTCTAAAGGAGATTTCACCTCTGTCCTTCCCCTCAAAAAAAACCTAACACGAGCTTTGCAAAGGACAGGTTAGTTAAAGTGGGTGTGGGTTTGTCAACTGTTGGGCTTTATCTAACTAAGTTTTAGTATTTTCTCCCAGCACCTTCAGGTGGGAGAGTCTAATGATTTTCATTCCTGTTAAGCATGGATGGGCTCTGGAAAATGAGACTCTCTACACAGACATGGTTCCTGCCTTCTAAAAGCTAACCATCTCAACTCCTTTTTGAGTCATTGGTGGGAGGGTAACTGTCCTCCTCCAAAGCACTGCATATGCAAACAATCTACCTACTTACCTTCCAGGATTGTTGAAAAACGCTCAGGTTGCCTAGGTTCTCCCTTTTGGTCTCATCTTCTCACTAACTGAGGCAGAAACAGCTCAGGGAAACTTCAGATTGTCCTCTGTAAACACGAGAGAAAGAGAGAGCAGCTTAGCCTGAGAGGGGGAAAAAAGTGAGGGAAAGAACAAGCCAAGAAACACAAAGATCAAGAAAGTCAAGATTAAAGAATTATGATTCAGAGTTTTAAGAGAACAGAATTCACCCAATAGCAAGTCCAAGCCCACAACCATAGTTCCCTTTAGTAAATCAGCAATCTATCAACCAACAAGCATTTACTAAGTAGGTGCCACATGCCATGTCCTGTGCTGGGCTGTGGGGATACCAAAACAAAGCAACAGAAAGAGGGAGACAGAGAAAGGGAGAGAGGGAGACAGAGTGAGAGCGAGAGAGACAGAGAAAGAGACAGAGGCAGAGAAGGAGGGAGGGAGGAAGGAGCTGTCCACAATATATACACGTCTAAAAGAATACAAAATATTTTAAAAGTGAGTACAAGGGAATTGTAAGAGGTGGAAGATTCAATCAATCAATCAATCAATCAATCAACATTTCTTAAGTGTTCCAGGAAGAGTGCTAAGCACTAGAATCTGGGGGCATCAGGAAGGCCTCATAAAGCACGTACCACTCGCTGAAGCTGGCCTCTGAAGGGAGCTAGGGATTCTAAGGGGTGGAGGTGAGGAGAAAGACTATTCCAGGGATGGGGAAAAACTTGTTTAAAGGTACAAGGTAGGAGATGAAATGCTTCACAGTTGCCTGCAAAAAAAAAAAAAAAGTATATATCTACCTTCAATACACAAGTTCGGCTCCTCGTATCTTCCCAGTTAAACTGTAAGGTTCCTCTTCTTCCGTAGTCTATCTATTTATAACTTCCTACCTGCCCCTCCTCTCCCCCGCCCAATTCAGTATATTGAACTGGATCTGGTAGTGTCCAATGCAGAGCTGTAGTTTCTACAAACCCTCTGACCACTTTGTAAAGTTTACATACTCAAACCGGCTGTACTCTTCAGACAAGATTGCTATGGACAATCTGGGCAACACAGAACTTCCTTTATAACCTAAGTCAGGCTGAGAAATCAATAAATTTACTGTTTCTGATAGTTACCAAGATGTTTCCAAAGCAAACAAAACCAAACACATCCTGACACGTGGAGGATGAGTGTACTCGGAGTTGTTAGGCAAACAGAAGAGGGATTAGAAGGATGGATGTGGAATTCATCAAATACAGGATGCTTTCCCCTCTGTCTCTAGCTTCTTTCAAGGAACAGTTGAGGGGCCACTTAAGCCAGGGGGTCTTTCCTAATCTCCAAGTTGTTAGGGATCTTTCTCCTTCCTGAAACTTTTTTACTCTGTATATCTTGGAATATACTTTGTATTTTCTTATCACTAGTAGAACATAAGCCCTTTGAGGGCAGGGACTGTTTTGTTTTTTTATCTTCATATCTGTGCCAGGGCACAGAGTAGGTGCTTAACATATTTGCTGAGTTGAATTTCATTCCACAGAACTGATTTAGCTGAAACTAATTTATCTCCAACAAAATAATTGACTTGTGATTAAAGATAGTGCACTACCTATTTGACGTTCTCCTTAATGGAGAAAGCAAATCCACACCCTTTACTGGGTTCTACCTCCTCCCACTTTTTTTTCTTTTTAAACCAGATACTTCTGCCTGGTTTTCAGAGACTAGAGGTAGAGATAGTCAGTGATAAAAGACAGGGGTTGTCAAATGTACCTGTGGCTGACTTTGTCATCTGACGCTACTGTTACTGGGTCACATCTGCTCCCAAGAAATTGCTGCTTTCAAATCCACCTGGCTCCACTCCTGCTTGCCTGATCACTAGCCAACCTGCTTGGGAGGGTTAAGGACTTGGAAGATGTCCACCATTCCTCTAATATCTTCACCCATCTACCTTTCATATGTATTCAAATATATACAAATTTAGGAAACTCCTGTTTGCCAAAAAAAGAGTTTTACTGTTTACAAAGTCCTTTTTTTAAAAAAAATTCAAAAAGCATTTATTAAGCATGAATTATGTGAAATATATTGAATTAGGGATATAAAGATGAAATAATTTATAGCACGTGCCCAAAAAGTATACAACCTAACAGGAAGGAATAGGACATATACACAATACAAGGCACACCATGACAAATATAAAGGGAAGATCTAGACAAAAATGCTATGAGACATTTAAGAATGAATAGATCGCTCCCATTTAGAGGACCAGGGCTCAAGGCCATATGAAGGAGGTGGCACCTTGAAAGAAAGAAGAGATTTCTGGGGAGAGGGAAGGCCGTTCTAGGCATGAGCAATGGCAGAGATTAGGGAGGGCAGAAAAGGAACAAATGGTGAATGATCCCATCTGGCAAGAATGTAGAATATGTGAAGACAAGCATGTAGAATATGTGAAGACAAGCAGCATGAGTGAAGCCTGTAGAGTATATCAAATGCCAAGATAAGTAGTTTGTGCTTTATTTAGTAAACAGGGTGAGTCACTAAAGAGTTCTGTGCTGAAGAATAGCCCAATCCAAGCAGTCTATTGTCCATATGGGTAAAGGATGGATAGGAAGATCATATGGGTAAAAGATGGATGGAAGTTATCCCAACAGAGAAGTATAAAGGGCCTAAGGTAGTTTAAGTAGGCAAGAAAGGAGAACACATCAGAAAGCAAAGACTGAGGGGACGGGAATGGGGGGGGGGCAGGTAGAGCCAGGATGATGGAATAAAGGCAGGGACTCACTTGAGATCTCTCAAATTCCCGTGTAAATAACTTTAAAATAACACCTTGCTATGAATGCTGGAGCAGCAGAACCAACAAAAGGACAGGGTGAAATACTTTTCTAGCCCAACACAACTTCTGGCAGGAAAGATTTGTCACACTGGGGTGAGAATGGAGCACAGTCCAGCATGGGCCTCCCCACAACAAGCCAGCAGCAGGCCTTGGAAGCTAATGAATGGGCTGGAGCTCTCAGCCCAAAGACAGTAAGGGGGCTGGACAACTAGTCAGAAGGAGATTACAGGGGACCCTGTAATTGCTGGCACTGGGTGAAGGACTCTGTTGCATTGCTCATACTCAGTTCTGTGTTGCAGTCCCAGGGCAAGGAGGAGCAATAGCACATCAGAGCTTGTTACCACAGTGGGAGCAGGGACCCCGGTCACAGTTCCAGCGCAGAATATAAGCGCAATGCTCATAAACCAGAGTACAGGCCAAGAGAGCAGTGACCACACCTCTCCTTAAATCATACCACCTTGGAAGTACTGAAAACTTAAAGACTCCTAGAACTAGCTCTGAAAACAACTACACACAAAAACCTGAAACTTAGGACAGGGCTTCCTCCACCGTGGAAGCATGACTTTAGCATAAAGTTAAAAGTCAAGAAATAGGCTGGAAAAATGAGCAAACAACAAAAAAGAACGTGATCGCCAAAAATTATTATGGTGACAGGGAAATTCAAAACACAAACTCAGAAGAAGACAACAAGGTGAAAATAGCTATCTCCAAAGCCTCAAAGAAAACTGTGAATTGGTTTCAGGCACAAAGAAAGAATTACTGAAAGAGTTCAAAAAGGATTTTAAAAATTAAATAAAAGAGGTAGAGGAAAAGTTGGGAAAAGAAATGAGAGTGACACAAGAAAATTATGAATAAAGGGTCAAAAGCTTGAAAAAGGAGACCAAAAAAAAAAAATACTGAAGAAAATAACACCTAGAGAACTCCTTAAAAAGTAGAATCAGTCAAATGGGAAAAAAGGTACAAAAATTCACTGAAGAAAGTAATTCCTTAAAAAGTAGAATTGGGCAGGTGGAAGCTAATGACTCCATGAGCCACTGAGAAACCATAAAACAAAATCAAAAGAATGAAAAAAAAAGTAGAAGGATATGTGAACTGTGTCATTAGAAAAACAACTGACCTGGAAAATAGATCAAGGAGAGATAATTTAAGAATTATTGGACTACCTGAAAGCTGTGATCAAAAAAAAAAAAAGCCTAGACATTATATTTCAAGAAATTATCAAGGAAAACTGCCCTGATATCCTAGAACCAGAGGATAAAACAGAAATTGAAAGAATCCACTGATCACCTCCTGAAAGAGATCCCAAAATGAAAACTCCCAGGAATATATAGCCAAATTCCTGAGCTCCCAGGTAAGAAGAAAATACTGCAAACAGCCAGAAAGAAACAATTCAAATATTCTGAAGCCACAGTCAGGATAACACAAGATTTATCAGCTTCTACATTAAAGGATCTGAGACCTTGGAATATGATATTCCAGGGGGCAAAGGAGCTAGGATTACAACCAAGAATCATCTACCCAGCAAAACTGAGTATAATCCTTCAGGAGGAAAAAAAAAAAAGACATTTAATCAAATAGAGGACTTCCAAGAATTCCTGATGAAAAGACCAGAGCTGAACAGAAAATCTGACTTCTGAATACAAGATTCAGGAAAAGCATAAAAAGGTAAACAGAAAAGAGAAATCATAAGGGATTCACTAAGGTTAAACTGTTCATTCCTACATGGGAAGATGATACTTGTAACCCCTAAGAACTTTATCATTATCATTAGGGCAGACAGAAGGAGTAGATTTAGATAGGGGACACCTAGCTACCTCTATCAGGGAGGAAGTAGGGAATGTGATTGGGAAAAAGATATTGGGATATACCACTGACAGAAACATAAAGTTAGAAGGAACAAATTAGGATTTGGTGGGGAAGGGCAGAGGGAAGATGAGTTTCGTACACAGGGTCCAAGGCTTCGCTGGAAAGGACCCCTTCAATGTACTGAATTTAAGGTACTGGAAGGACATCAAGGTAGAGGTATCCATCAGAGAACTGAAAGTGTACGACTATGGCTCTGGGCAGCCATGGGGTATAAAATGGTATGTTTTAAAGCTTTAAAATGCAAATTCAACAGTTATTCCACCCTCCATATAAGCAAGAGATGATAACTGAAATCACAGAAATGGATGAGATGGCCAGAGGAGGAATTAGAGATAGGAACTAGGAGGGTTAAGGACTGAGCCTTGGGACATAACAACACTTTAAGAGCCATAGAAGAATGAGAAAACCAGTAAAAGGAGACATTTAAATGGAATGCTAAAAGAATCGTGAGAATGCTGTAACATTGGGATATCACAGATAGAATGTTCTGGAGGCATCTTGAACCCAACATGTCCAAAGCCCAACTCCCCTCCTCCCAACCCTCAAGTTCCCAACTTTCCTATTACTCTCAAGCGTGCCACCATCCCTTCCAGGCACCTAGGCTGGTAACCTCAATGTCACCTTCCACTTCTCATTCCCACTTACCCCACATATCCATTCTATCATCAAATCTAGTTCCTACCTCCACAACATCTCTCTCATATATATCCCCTTCTCTCTGCTCACACAGCCACCAATCTGATGCTGAACCACATTACTTTTTTTTTAATAAGCACTTTTTTGGGGCGAGGCAATCGGGGTTAAGTGACTTGCCCAGGGTCACACAGCTAAGTAAGTATCAAGCGTCTGGTCTGAGGCTGGATTTGAATTCAGATCCTTCTGACTCCAGGCCCAGTGCCTATCCACTGCGCCACCTAGCTGCCCCTCACATCACTTTTTACATGGAATTTTTCTATCTTATTTCCCTGCCTCAAGTTTTCTACCACTTTAGACCATCCTCCACTAAGCTGAAAAAATGATTTTCCTGAAGTATAAGCCTGACCATGTCACTCCCACCCCCAAACT